CAACCGAAAGAAGTGAAAATAAAATAAAATGTTTCGATGACGATAAGAAGAATCTCTCTCGTATCCCAGGTCGGTCACTATGTCCCGATTCGTACGAATGGATGTTAGGGTATCGCGATAGTCCCGGAAAAATGCCTTGTTTCGGGATGACCAATCAGGTTCATGATCTGACGGAACCCGTCAGAATCTGTAGTCAGTCAAGATGACTGAGAAAGAGTCAGTCAACTAATGAATAAGCACATGTTTTCCCTCTTTTTATATTTTGGCAAGGTAAAAGAACTCCTACATGCTTCTAGTTATATTCTATTGCACTATTTATGGAATCGCTATCTGAACGAGGGAATGGTGTGATTAGCGGACGCCTATCGGGGTTTTCAGTTTCAGTTTGAACGATCATTAACCACGCATATTCGTGCGCCGGTTTTCATTGCTGTATTCTTGCTGCGCATTTGGATGAAGAATAGAAGAAAGGAAAGTTGAAAGTGGAGTCGAACAGAAAATGGAGAAGTTCAGTGGTCTAAAGTTGCAAAGAAATTGAGGAGATGCACGAACGCCACTGTGTACGACACCCAGCCATATCACTCAGTGTCTCTAACCAGTCAGGGAGCCTAACAGGGCCTATGTGACCCAGTCTCCTGGTTAGTGTTTTCATACCCTCATGCCAGGTCTTAGCTTTACCATCTTTGGCTTTTCTTCACTCGGTATCTACTTCGGCGAACATCGCTCGCCGTGGTAACCTATCTGGTAATATGTGCAACACATGTCCCAGCCAACGTAATCTATGGAGGTCGACCACTTGCTCCAGTGGGCGACCGTATTTACCCAAAACTCTGCCCCTAACCTCAGTATTGCTCATCCGGCTGCCCCATCAGATTCGTGCAATGCTGCGTAGACAGCGGTGTTCAAACACCGACAGTCTGTCTTTATCTTGTTTTCCTAATGGCCAAGTTTCTGCACCGTATAGCAGAACTGGCCGAACTGTCGCGGCATACACTCGACCCTTCACAGACAGTCGGATGTCGCGACGGCGCCACAGATGTCTCAAGTTAGCAAATGCTAACCGAGCCTTCTGTATGCGAGCTGACACTTCATTTGTGATGTCTCCACCGAGTGAGATGTAGCTGCCCAAATAACAAAACTTATCCACCTGCTCTATTACTTCTCCAGTAAGAGTGACGCTGGGTGGCATATCGGGGTAATAATAATACACAGGGTCAACTCGAGAAATAGCACTGCGATAACGCCGATCAACATTCAAACGTGCAATGACAATGAGAATAACAACCTCTCCCGTCTAAACAACACATGGGTGCCACCCAATGGGTTCTATCTTCGTGAACAGGATCAGTTAGTTGATCATTCGAAATCGTACCGAACCGGAGTTGGTTGGCTGCTTACCTTGAAAAGGAACTGAAGACCAATATGGTCTTCCAATGAGGGATGTTCCGCCAGGGATTGGAGATCTTTATACAACTCGCTATCTTGATCAACCCTGGAACGAAGACGAACAGATAGAAAGGGCATGAACACCTAAGCAGTGTTTGCGGACACATCGTGACAGCATGTCAAACGATCAAGTCAAAAAAATGTCCGAATCGGACATGGGCAACAATGACATAATGAGAACATCAATGTGAGGTCAGTGAATTTGGTCACAGGAGTTGATCAATGACTGAAAAGGTAGCAGCAGTAGTACTAGGCATATGCGAAACCCGTGTTTGTTTCTCAGTCCAACTTATTTCTTTCAATAAGATGGGATTTTTTCCGAGTTCAGGAAAGCAAATGGCCAAGAAATTTGGGCTCACCGAGTTGCGAGATCCGCCGACAGGAAAGGAGAACAATAACGATGAAGTTTCAGTTTGCGCAACCATTACCAGTAGCACTTTCGTGCGCCGGTATTGGTTGCTGTCTTTTGGCTGCCCATTTGGATGAAGAAAGATAGCAAGATTGAAAACAGAGTCGAAAAGAAAATAGAAAACTCGAGCAACCTATGGTCGCAAACAAATTGAGATGCCATTTCACTGTGTCTCTAACCATCGGTTATAATCATCCCGAGGTCAACGGTCAGAGATCCTAACGGGACCTATGTGACCCAGTCTACTGCTTAGCATTTTCATACCTTCGTGCCAGGCCTTAGCTTGACCACCCTTGGCTTTCTTCCAACCACTACATGCTTCGGCGAGCATCGCTCGCCGTGGTAACCTATTTGGTGACATGGGTAACACATGGTTCAACCAGCGTAATCCATGGAGGTTGATCACTTGCTCCAGTGGGCGACCGAGATTACCTAAACCCTGCGCCAAACCTCAGAGTTGCTCGTCCGGCTGTCCCAACAGACTCGTGCAATGCTGCATAGACAGCGGTGTTCAAACACCGACGATGGTAACAGCGATGAAGTAGCACTGCGTACATTACGTCTGCATTGTACGTGATGCATAGCAGAGCAATGACCGGGGTATCTTGATTTTCTGCAACAAGAACATAAAGGTGTCATTCTTCTTCGGAGCGGTAACATTCCAATAGGGTGTTCATAAAGCAAAGAAGAGTAGGCGAGTAGGGGAAATGTTGACCCGTCGATCTGACAGTCGTGAGCTTTTCAGAGGGCGAATTATTAGCCAAGGAGTGAGTTAATCTCAAGGAGCAAACTGGTAGAAGCTCTCTTTCAAATTGGTCACCATTCGAGGATTGGCGACGCACATATCTGCATCGTCACCCTGAATACTTTTTTCTTATAGAATATTAATTCACATACTTTCTTCATTCTGAAGCTTTTGGCAAACCGTTCAAACGTATACGAAAGTGCAAGGTCATTGCTCGCATGCATAGAAACCAAAAACAGTGCAATAAGCATGAGCACCAGAGGATTTCGTATAGAATTTATCCGCCAAAACACCATTCAACTAAGGAGGGCTTACTTGTACAACTTGACTTTCCAGTCGTAAAGGCTGTCATTTTGCATTTCCACGGTAAAAACACCTGGAGTCAAAATAAAGAGAATAGGGAGAAAGGAAGAGGCAATGAGTGATACCAACGTTAAAAATAAATTGATGAAGAAATGCAATGGAACCATACTGAGACCGAGACTAAAAACGTACAAAGTTTAACGGTTCGAAATGTTCACACAGAATACTAACCGGATGAAAGAACGGACTGTGTATCATGTGGTTGGGTCGGGTACAGAACGTGAAAGACAGGCTTTTAGCAAATCAAGATTTCCGGGTATCGTCTTAGCTTGTCCCACTACCGTTGCGCTTTGCCCGGTTTAACAAACCTCAGAGGCTGTTGGGTTGAAACCATGGGTACAAGCGGACTGATCCAAAACATGGATCCAAAAAAATAACCAGCCCTTTGACGCATGACGTGTTTTTAGGGTGTTCACACACGTATTCATTGTAAAAATGAGCATTTAAGTTTTTTTATTAGTAGTTACACTTCGGTTACCGTCCACGGTTGTCAAACTGATCCGAATCAACTTTGAAAAACGCATCTCAGAACATAACTAATCGTTTGTCGTTACGTTATCAGTTCGACAAATCACGCGATTGATCGATTTGTGCGCTACCAGTTTAGGTGAATTTGTTAGCCAAATCTCGTCGTGCGACATCGAGTAGACACTAATTTGACTCCGTTTTTCGTGTGCTCCTTTGTACGATACTAAATTCGAGGATATATAGTCCAAGTGTCACACACTCTAATGCCACTCGGTTGTCTGAACCGAATTTGCTGTCAGATTTATACGAGTAAGTGTTCGATTTTGTGCGTATTATCTTCACTGTGGTATTAATTGATAGATAATTCAAAGCTCTACTGAATGTGCATTTGTATATATATATATATATATATATATATATATATATATATA